CAGCCGCTCCGCGGACCCCGCGCAGCCCCACAGAGACGCGCGTGTCACCCGCCCGGCCCCGCACAGGATCCGCCCCCGGTGGTGGCCGCCGCGGGCGCACAGAACAGCAGACCCCTCACGGACCCGCCCTAGACACGGATGCACGCGGTCACGGTCGCAGTCACAGTGCCAGCCGCCCGCGGGCCCGCACCCTCCTCTGGCTGTCAGGGCTGGCCCCCCCACCTCTCCCCATGGCGGTGGGTGGGGTACCTGAAGGGCCTCTGGGGAAGCCCTCTGGGCGGGGCAGGTGGGGCCAGGAGCTCCAAATGGAGCAGGTGTGTGTGCCCCCTGCCCATATCCCCAGGTTCTCATTACCGGCAAGGTAGTGCAGGCCACACCTGGGGCCCTGCCCACTGGAGCCTCCTTCTGGGCAGAGTCAACACCTGGGGCTCGCCCAAACTGGGGGGACCTTGGTCTGCACAGCCTCCTAGGCCTCACATCCTAGAGGGTCACAGCCACTGGCACAGAGGGACAGTGTCACACAGGGGGCACCACGGGGTTTCACCCCCACAGTGGGGCAGTCTGGACACATGGATGCACCCACCAGATGCATGGACTCAGATGTTCATGGATCTCCCTGTGTGTCTGTGTCCATGCATAAGTGTGTGTGTCTGCAGGACCCTGGGAACCAGATGATTCCAAAGGCCCCAGTTGGTGTGGAGACCTCAGTGTGGGAGAAAAGGACATTAAACCAAAGCAAATCCCCCCAGGCGGAGGGTGCTGAGAGGGGAGCACAGAGGGGCTTCTGATCTTGACACCTAAACTGAGATCTGGGGGGGAGGGACTCAGATCTGCCAGAGCAGGTGTCAGGGCCTCAGGCCAGGGACAGCAGGATCAAAGTGAAAAGGGGAAGCTGGAATAACTGGTCTTTGTCCCCTCTTCAGTCCCCCCGCCCCATCTCTGAGGACACCCAGGCTCAGACCCACTCTATCTGAGCAGATGGTAGCTTGCCATTCGTGCTGGGAGCATGTGGCCTTGGGTGTAAACTGGCTCCCTCTGGGTCCTACCTGCCCACAATCTTTCCAAGGCAGGAACCCCCATAGCTCTGCTGCCCCTTCCTGGGAGAGATCAGGCAAGTCAGTTGTCCCCAGGCTGGAGGTTACCAGGCCTTTGGCTGGCGTGACTCCACTCAGGCATTTATGGGTGAGGGTTTCACCTGAGCTAAGGGGGGAGACCACCCCCACTCCCCCTACCCCAGCCCCTCCTAGACCTGGCTTCGCCAGTATTGGAAATGGACTCAGACCTCGACACCTGGAGGCTCCTGGCCAAATGCCAATCCTCCACCTGCCCCTACCCAACTACCTCAGCACCCTGCAGCCCTGGGGGAGGGGGAAGTCAGTCTCTGACAAGGCAGAAATAGGCCTGCTTCTGCCTCCAAAAAATGGGTCAACCACCCTTCCCAGTGGGGCCTGAAGAGTCCAAGCCCAGCTCAAGGTGTCTGGAAAGGGTGCCATAGTGTTGGGGAAGGAGGAGAAGGGCTCTGAGGCTGCTGGTGAGTCTGGGTGTGGGGTATTAAGATAGCCCTCTTCCCAATAAAGCCCCGCTCCCAAAAGTCCCAGGGTGCCTTGAGTGGGGTCTCTGCCTATCCCCCAGCTGACCCAAACCAGGCCTCTATGCAGTGCCCAAGGGGAGGAGAGTCAGCCAGAGCCCCCAGCCTCCAAGAACCCACAGCAGAAAAGAGGAGATGGCGGGGTCACACCCCATGAGCAGGCACTGACACCCAGCATTAAGGCAGTGTCATCACAGTCACATGCGACACCCAGCACCCCACGAACGACACACTCGACCTGCCCCCGAGAGCTGGCCACAGAGTCTTCCCATCACACACTCAGCAACCGTGGGGCGTGGACCACAGCAGGGGTCACACCCAGCACCACCCAGCGGCCCCCACCTGGTGGCGCTCACGAGTCACACTCCCGGAGCAGCCACACCCCTCACACCGACCCCAGCCCTCTCCACCCCATCCCGATGGGCCACATTTCAGGTGGGGAGTGGTGACGGAGTGACAAGCCTTGAAACCCCCACCCCCCCAGCCCACCTTTCCCACCCCGTCTCGTCTCCTGAAGACCCTCCCTTCACTGAAGCCTCTTCCCTTCTCTGAGTCCCACCCCAGCCTGAGGCTCTTCCCTTCTTATCAGCCCTCCTCTCCCTGAGTCCACTCACCCCGCCCCAGTTTAGCCCCCCTTTCTAAGCCTCTGCCCCGGGGCGGGCATCTCCGAGGCTGTCCGGGTCGCGGGGTCCCACCTCGGGTCCCTTCTGGCACGCGGCCGGGAGAGATCCGCTACCAAGGGGGGGTTAACACCCACCCGGCCGCGCCCCGCCGCCATGGCCGCCAGCTCCGCGCCCCACGGCGTGCCCCTCCCCGCGCGCAGATGCCGTGTCTGAGCAAGGTGGGTGCTGGGTGGGCTCTGGCACGAGGCTTGGGGGTCCCGCTGTCCCTCGGATTTCCCGGCCTCGGGGGAGGGGCCGAAAGGAGCGGGGGCGGGGGGCGTGCTCGAGTTGGGACGCGGAGCTGGGGGGACTGCTCAGTGGGGGGCGGGCGGTGAGACCCCAGCGGGCCGGTGGTTAGCCCTCTGTTCCGCCGGCCCCTCCCCCGTCTCCGCCGCTTGCCGCGGCTGAAATCCCACCATTAGTGCGCATTAATCCCATCTCTGAGCCTGCTGATCCGGGGCCACCCCGCCCGGTTCCTGAGAGTCGCGCTCCTCTGCCAGATGGAGCAGGTGGTCGTGAGCATGCAGGACCCCGACCAGGGCGTGAAGATGCGGAGCCAACGCCTGCTCATCACTGTCATTCCACACGCGGTGACCGGTGAGGCCTGCTGGGAACCCTGGGGGGGTCGGGGGGCCAGCCCTGCCTCGGCTTTCTCCACCCCAACCTCTCCTGCGCAGGTAATGACATCGTGGAGCGGCTGATACAGAAGTACTCCGTCTCAGAGGAGGGTGAGGGGGTCAGCCCCCTGCCCATCCTAGCACCCTCCCCTTTGCCAGGCACTGGGTGGGAGGGTCACAGTGTTGATGGCCTAGGGCTGGGGGCTCACGGGTGTCAGGGATTGGTCATGTGTGCTGGGGTGGGGGGCACTCGTCCCAGGGTACCCCACCCCCTGCACTCACATTCTCTCCCCACAGAGTCCTTGCACCTGGGCACCCTCCTGGCGCGATGCGACTACATATACCCTCTGCAGGAACCCCGCAGATTGGTACTCCGGTCCCACGAGACCCCTTACAGGTTCCAGGTCAGGCTCGGCCTGGGGAAGGTGGGATCCCGACAAGTGGAGACCCTTGGGGGGACAGGGCTTGCTGGGACTGGAGTCGGGTGAGGTGACATCACCGTGGACCTGGGGGTCCCTCGCCCCCTCCTCGAAAGGCCTGGACTGGAAGTCAATGTGCTGAAAGGGGAGGGAGCTTCAGGCTGTCTGGGGCCACAGCAGCCCCCCATAAGAGGTAATATCCTGGGAGGACTGGTTTGGCTCCAGGTCTTCAGACCCTGCCCCTGAAGAAAGGAGTGGGGCATGAACACCACGGGTCCTGCACCTCAACACCATCCGCAGACATGATGGACACCCCAGCCCTCCCTCAGTGCCCTCCCCAAGCCCCCCACCCTAGATAGGGGGCTCAGGGCACCTGAGTCAGGGAGCCTCCCCAGGACCCCTAGGGGGGAGTCAGCTCAGCTCTAGGTGGAGAGAATGGCCAATGGTCAGCTGGGCCTGCAGGCCCTAGGTGGACGGGGAGATCCTCAGACACCCTATCCCCAGCCCAGACCCCTTCTCAGGGGCTGTGAGGTGGGGGTGACACTGGGGTGGCCAAGGCCCACGGGTTCCCGGCTACCCTTTTCTCTGCCCACACCAGACACCATATTTCTGGACAAGCACTCTGTGGCCAGCAGCTGAGCTGGACTATGGTGACTGAGGAGGAGTCAGCTCTCCCAGGACTGGCAGCCTCAGGGTGATGCCACTGGTAGGAGGGGCAGGGTCTGCCCCCTAGAGCTTGACCCTCCCGTCCTTCCAGCCATTTACCTTGACCCCCCCCTTCTTCCAGCCATTTACCTTGACCCCCACCCCCTTCCTTCCAGACATTTACCTTGACCCCCCCTTCTTTCCAACCATTTACCTTGACCCCCCTTCCTTCCAGCCATTTACCTTGACCCCCCTTCCTTCCAGCCATTTACCTTGACCACCCCTTCCTTCCAGCCATTTACCTTGACCCCCACCCCACTTCCTTTCAGCCATTTACCTTAACTCCCCACTTCCTTCCAGCCATTTACCTGGCCAAGAAGAACATCCGAAAGCAGGGAGCTCTGGTTTACCATGAGAAGGTGAGACACTCCCCAGGGCTGAGTCCAGCAAGAGGAACCCACAACCCCACTCCTGGCCCCTGAGCCTCAGAGTTTGCAAAACTAGGCCCACTTTATGGAGAACCAGAACTGCAAGCATACAGCCCTGCCCAGGGCTCAATGCCCCCAGGATAATCCAGACACACACCGACATATCACCCCTGTGCAGTCTCACTGGAGAGGGGATCCATGCCCGGGAGGTAGACGTGGGAGGGGTTACCCACTGGGCCTCGTCGCTTCCCAGGACCACTATGACCATCTGCACAAGAAGATCAAGCACATGTGGGACCTGGTAGTGATGCAGGCCAGGGAGCAGCTGCGGTGAGGCCTTCTGCGGGCCTCAACCCACGCCCACCCCTCACCTCGCCCCGACAACGCTCCCTTCCATGCCAACATTAGCTAGCTTAATCCACGCTCGGGACCTAGACCACGGCCCGGCCCACACCAGTATGGCCCAGTCCACACCCAGCCAGTCCCTTGGACCAGACCCACGCCCCCAGTTTACGCCCCGGCCACACCCTCCTTTCCTAGGCCCCCCCACGCCCACGCCCCCCCACCACGCCCAGCCGGCACTGGCGGTGGGACTGCCCACAGTGTGGTTGAGGCTTGGCCCCTGGCCTGACCCTGGCCTGGGTGGGGAGGTGCTGCGATGGGCATGGTTCCCCCCAACTCTGCTCCCCTCCCCCGCACCAGGGCAGCCAAGCAGCGCAGGAATGGGGACAGGCTGGTCATCGGTGAGCCCTCCTGTGCCCGCTGAGGTGGTTGGGTCTCTGGGTCCAACCATCCGCCCTCCAGACCTCAGGGCCTCAATTTAAGCATGTCAAGGTCCCGGCAGCAGGAGGCCGCAATTCTGTGACTTGCTCTAGTTTCTGCCCATCAGAACGCACAATTCCAGAGCTTGTGGGGATGAGGCAGGCCCCGAGACCCCAGGGAAACAAGCTTCTCTCTGGGGCCTGAGGAGGGCATGGGAAGCCAAAGAGGGACAAGACTGCTGGAGGAGGCAGATTGTTGTCCTGGAGGGAAGTTTGAGGTCCCTGCTGTGAGGGGCCATGGTGGGGAAGTGGACGGGCCATCCCGGGTCTGCTGGGACAGCCACAGAGCCGTCCTTGTGGCAGCCGCTTGGGGGAAACCCATGAGAAGAGGCCGGATGAGAGGGGCTGGTCACTTCATCAAGTTGGGGGGCACCCTGAGAAAATGGCACTCAGGCTTCTACCTGAGGGTAGGGTGGGTTTGACAGGTGGCATGGGACAGAGCAGTGGAGACCCCAGGAGGAAGGACCTTGGTCAAGGGCTGGGTGGGTCTCTGACTTGGGAAATGGCTCCAGTGGTGTGAAGGACCACTGGAGGGAGTGGCCCAGGCATCGGTGACAGGTGGGAGTCAGCAAATGTGTTGAGGACAGACTGGCAGGACATGTGGACAGATGGATGGACAGACGCACAGGGGTAAGGGCGAGAGGTCACAAGAAGGAGTTTGAGGATTTAAGGCCTCTGAGTGGGGCACAAAGGGTGGGCAAGGGTCACATGAGGGAGGCCCTGGGAGGCTGGTGAGCGGGATGGAGTAGGGGAGAGGTCACCACGGAGCGTGTGCAGAGGAGACCCTGGCTCCAGTGTGTCAGGGGTGGTGCTCTCCCCCACCCCCGGTTGTCTGAGCACGTTTCCATGACAAAGGGTGACACCTGGGCACAGAGCGTCAGAAAGTGCGGTCGTGTCCTCCCTCCCTCTGTAGCCTGGGGTGCCCAGTGTGCTGGAGCAGGTTCCAGAGCGGGGCTCAGGCACCACCGGCCGTGTGCAGATGGTGAGCGCCCTGCGTGCATGTCGCCCCCCACCCCCAAATTAGTGCCACCCTTCTGGCCAGGGGCTGCTGCTGAAAGGCTTCAGGAGCGGTTGGAGGCTGTCCATGCCTCCTTCTGTCCATCCACCCATCCATCTACCCAACTGGCATGTGACGCGGCCGCCCCTGTCCTGGGGTGGGCTCCTGTCTCACTCTGCTGTCTCACCCCCTCCCCCGGCCCACCTCTGCCCCCCTAACTCTGTCTCTTGCTCCCCCTGCTGCCCATGGCGCAAGTAAGTGCAGTGGACACGGGAGGGAGGGCACATCCCTGGGGCGGGCAGTGTTGGGGGTGGCCAGCAGGGAGTTGGTGGGGGCCAAACCGGCCCCCGGAACCAGAGGGAACTGGCCGTGGCAGATAGCAGAGACTTGGGTTCAAGCCAAACCCACCCCAACCCTGATAAGAGAGCGGATTTGTGGAGTACCTGTTTGATATACCTCTGTGTCCCCAGTTCACATGGGTGGGAAAGAGCAGGGAGGTCCATCCCCCCCAACTTGGGCGGTCTAGGAGTCTCCGGGTTGCAGCCACAGCTTCTCCAGCCCCAACCCAGCCCAGAGTTCTGGGTCTGACCATGAAGAGTTAAACCTGGGGTCACAAGTTAGCAAGACGGGGTTCTGCATGACCCTGTGAGCAGCGTTTTCCATGTATATGTTGAATTTTAAAGAATCATTAAAATACATCTGAACACATGAAAGATTAATCACATTTGGGGAAACTTTGGCAACTTTGAGAACCTGAGTGCTCCATGGAACATTCTGGAAATCTCCAGACTAGAGGCCCCCAGAGGCCTCCTGGAAAATCAGACCCCTCCTCATTAGGGGAGGAGCTTCCCTGAGCAGGGACTGGGGGCTGAGCTGCCATTGTGGTGGGGGGGGGTCTCTCCTCACAGGGGGGCCACTCACCCGGTTACCTTCTAACTCAGCCCACTGGCCTCTTGCAGACAAAGAATGTGGATTTCTACAAGCAGGAGGTAGGTCCTGGGGGCCAGGTGGGATGAGGGTTCGGGCCCAGGTCCGCCCCACAGGGCTGCCGTCCCCCCAGGTAGAGTGCTGCAGAAAGGCCCTGAGCAGGCCCCGGGTGAAGTCCTCTGGCTGCCTGGAGGCGTGAGTGGGGCATGGGCGCTGAGGGAGACCCCTAGCTGGAGCCTAGACCCTCCTTCAACCCCCACAGCTCCTCCCTGCCCAGGCCCCTGAGAGCTGTGGCCCTGGCGCCCCCCAGGTACCTGAAGTTCAGCAGCCAGTATGGGCCACACGTCCCCATCGTGTCAGGGTGCCTGCCCAGCAACCCCTGGATCACAGATGACACCACCTACTGGGCCATGAATGTGCCCATGTGAGCCAGGGATGGGTGGGTGGGAGGGACTGAGGTACGCTGTGGCCTGGGGGCCGGGGGGGGGTGACCCCTGACCCCACCCAGGGTGGCTGTGCCCACGAAGCTGTGTGTGGAGCGATGGACCTTTGGCTTCCCAGAGCTCCTGGAGGACCCTGTGGGGCGGGCCCAGTTCATGGACTTCCTCAGGAAGGAGTTCAGTGGTGAGAAGCCCCCCAGCTCCTGGAGGGCAGCCCAGGACCCCCTCAGGTTCCGCCGATCCCCGCAGGGCCCTCCCGGCCGGGCCAGTGTGGAGCCCCTGACCTTCCCCAACCCCCTCGACCCCTGAGGCCCCCGGCCCACCCTGACCCCCTGACATACCCCAAACCCTCAGCTGAGAATCTCAGCTTCTGGGAGGCATGCGAGGAACTGCGCTACGGAAGGCAGGCTGGTGTCCCCGCCCTGGTGGATGCCGCGTCCCAGTGAGTGTGGCAGGGACGGGGGGG